TATGGTGTTATTTAGAACAAAACCACAAGTTTTTAAATGGACTATATAGGGGTCATACCTTTTGGCGGATGGATATGGAACCTCATACCTTAATGTGTTATGACATCACACTGATTTTTGTCTCTGCAACTTTTTTTGGCAGAAAATATCATTTTTAGTTCAAAAATGCATAAAAACGTCGGAAATGGCTGAATATGTGAAAAAATTATCCATTTAGGCTAGAAAGGGTTAATTTGCCCTACCCCAAATACGTCTAAATATGCTAGTCTAACTTTGCCACTGTGACGTCACAAATCTAACCTGACTATCTCTGAGTTTATTGAAGAAAATGATACGTCTGACAAACAGCTTTCATTCCCTATATGGCACACCTTCTACTAAGAGTTGCATCATTGACTAAATCTACGACAAAGGCCCTATGTCCCGAGGATTTTGACTGAAATTTGGCCATTTTCGCCCAAATCTCAGTAAATAGCAGTTTCCCCAACAGCTGTATTTTGAAATAAATATTGCTACAATGTAGCAATTTAAAAATCACACATGCTTACTGTTTCTGTTGACCTGACACGTGTATCTAGCCTGTAAAAATGAAAAATCGCTACATTGTAGCAATTTCAGTGAGATATGGGCCCTCAAAATCATGTATTTTTAGCAAAAAATGAATAACCTGCAATTTTGACGGAATTTTGGAGGGCTTTCTTTCATTTATGACCCTCCGGGGGCCTCCTTTGACCATACTAATACACACAGAAGGGTTGAAAGTGATTTTAAATCATTGTTTGCCCTACGCCGAACGAAAAAAATCGATTCTGTTCTCAAATTCTGCTGGAATAATGGTCTCTGGCCAACTAGCAGACAATTTTAGGCCTCATATTAAGGTATGAGTACCGTAATCCAACACCAAATTCGAAAATTCAGAACAATACCCGGCACAAATGGCGTTCGTGATCAACTATGAAACGCTTACCCCCCATAGTGTTATATATCAAAATGTACCTGTTCATATAGGGATTCGATTGATCTACATCAAATTATAGGGAGTCAGGTTACTTTTTGAGATATCAGCGTCCATTTATTGTAACTCGCGTTTGCTAACATCGCCTCAATTCTGAGACGACGGGCCAAACGCGTAGTAAACATGATCACGTCGGAACTATTTTGACCTACATCGCTATTTTCGTAATTCAAATGAAAGTTGAACTCCTCCTCTTTATTTTGATACCAAATAGTGGCATACTAGGTACCCTAGAAGCCAGCTATGGTGTTATTTAGAACAAAACCACAAGTTTTTAAATGGACTATATAGGGGTCATACCTTTTGGCGGATGGATATGGAACCTCATACCAGAATGCCAAAAAACTAATCAGATCTAGATTTTCATACTGAGAATCATCCCTGAAAATTTGAAATTGATCTACCAAACAGTTCACCTGAAAATGCGTAGACAAGACTTTACAGACAAGATTTTAGGACGGAAAATCCAAAATGGCTGCCTTGACATTTACCCAGAATGCCCATAAACTAATCAGATCTAGATTTTCATACTAAGAATCATCCCTGAAAATTTGAAATTGATCTACCAAACGGTTCACCTGAAAACGCGTAGACAAGACATTACAGACAAGATTTTAGGACGGAAAAATCCAAAATGGCCGACAATAAAAAAGTGATTATGAGTTTTTGCTGAAATCTTTTTACAAAATTATCACATATAACTACTGTTAACAATAACATAGGCTTTTACAACAAAGTACACCTGAAATTATTTATAAAGCTACTAAAAAGTTAAAGTATGAAAACTGAAAAACACCATTCAATATGATACAAAGTATTATCGTGCGCTAACTTTTCTTAAAACATTCAAAATGGCTGACATGACTGAGCTAACAGGTCCAAAACCTAATCAGATCTAGAATGAAGTAAGCTGAACAAGATGTTAAAGTTTTAAAAGCAACTGTGAAGCCGTTTTTCTTGAAGTTTGCAGACAAGGATTTTAGCATTTGACTTCAAAATGGCCGACAGGAAGTAGGTATTGAGTTAATTTTTTTTCATCCACATCTGTATGCACTCATAAGTTATCCCTGAAAATTTGAAGGTGATATCTGTAGCGGTTTTGGAGAAAACTACCGGACGTACGGACGGACAGACAGACGGACAGACAGACGGACAGACAGACAGATGGACAGACGGACGCGCCTAGGCCGACAATATGGCCCCACACTATGTGGTGGGGACATAAAAATACGCATGGGAATATTATTAAACTTTATTGTAATTTATCAAAAACAAAAACCATGCTTCAGGTGTGAGTACCGTAATCTAACACGAAATTCAAAAATTCGGAACAATACTTTGCACTTCTGGCATCGTGACAAACTATGAAATGCTTACCCCCATAATGTTATATATCAAAATGTACCAATTCATATACTGTAGGCATGGGCTTTCAATTGAAAGCCCATGATATAGGGGTTCGATTAATCTACATCAAATTATAGGGAATGAGGTTACTTTTCTAGATAGGGTTTGTAGAAAAAAAGGTATCGGGTAGTAAATCCTCCATGCTGGGTTCAAACTTGGTACCCGGTCGAAAAAACGGATACCCAAAAAACGAAATATACGAATATTATCGCATCCTATGACCCCTTTAGATTGTGACCACAATCTAAAGGGGTCGTAGGATGCGATAAATACGAATATACAACATAATTAGATCATTAGAAAACGTGTAAGATTTGTTTTGAATTTACAAAAATGTATGTAACTTCCTACAAAATTGAGCTAGAAGCTTCAAATAAAAAGCATTTTAAGGCTCTTTTCTTCCTCTATCATAATGGTCATATTTCCATTGGTAATGAAGGGGGGGGGGGGTGCACCCCCTCCTGGCTACGCCAATGACAAGACAAATCAATCTTACTTTATTTTCAATAGGTCGTACGTGGTACGTGAATTGTTTTGATTATGATTTAAATCTGTAAATAGCTATCGTTGCTTTAGCAGAGAGGTGACGTGTGTTAATTTACATGATGCAACGTGTAAGATTATTAATCATAATTTAAGTTATCCCAATTTTCGACAAAATGTCCACTGAATTGTAAATTGTTATGTCTTACAATGTCATAGGCGTAGCCAGGAGAGGGTGCGATGGTGCGATCGCACCCCCCCCCCATAACCAATGAAAATATGGCCATGACGATAGAGGAAGAAAAGAGCCTTAAAATATGCTTTTTAATTGAAGCTTCTAGCTCAATTTTGAAGGATGTTACATACATTTTTGTAAATTCAAAACAAATCTTACACGTTTTCTCATAATCTAATTATGTTATATATTCGTATTTTTCGTTCTTTGGGTACCCGTTTTTTTGACCGGGTACCGGGTACCAAGTTTGACAAACCCTTTCTAGATATCAGCGTACATTTATTGTAAATCGCGTTTGCTAACATTTGCTCAGTTCTGAGATGAAGGCCACACGGGTAGTAAAAAGGCCAACGTTGGAACTATTTGTGACCTACATCCCTATTGTCGTAATTAAAATGAAAGTTGAACCCTTCCTCTTTATTTTGATACCAAACAACAGCATGCTAGGTACTTAAAATTAGGTAAACTTTACTCCTCAAAAGTGCAAAAACTTAGCTTCTTACTTAGTATATAAGATAAGATAATCACAATATAGGGGATTGCAACAATTTCGGAAATTCGCGGAGGTCAAAGCCACATTTGCGGGACTTCGCGGGACATTGCGGGACACGCGAATTAGCCTAATTTTGATCAAATTCGCAGGATAATCCCGCCATTCGCGGGACACTTGACAGCTCTGCAGAAAGTATTATCAAACTGCAATATTTGGTCTATCACTCAAGGGTCCTAGGTTTGATTCCCACACGTGGCATTGAATTTAGCACACTTTCTTTCAATTTTTTTATCTGGCTTGTTTCACTATACTCATTAGTATGTCAATCCCCTTGGGTGCCCTCAGGTCATTACTTTGGTGTCAGATGTGGGATCAAAGCATGGGGCGTGGCCCATTCAAAGGGGAAGATAGTGTAACAACCATTGATTACAAGTTGCTACTGTAATGGCTTAAGCCTTTATAGCTCAGTCGGTAAGCATCATCAGGCCATCCAACAGTCCCGCACTTGCATATTTGTTACTTGCGTATTTTTGCGTGACAGAATATGTCACGCAAATACGCATTTTACCTGACAATTGGGGATTATTATCAAGCAAAATATTTCTTTAGAAAAACTTCAAAAAAGTGAAAAAAAAGCAAAAAAAGAACGTTGAAAAAACAATTCCACAATTTGAAGGTGTTCAACATTAGTAAGTCACTCATGTTAGGTGTTCCCTAACCAAACCCGTCTGACCGAGTTATCTACGCATGACGTTGTTTCTACGACTTTTCAGAATCAGGATGTAGATAACTGGGCCAGACAAGTTTGGTTAGGTGTTCACAAGTTGACAGGCCTGCATCATGCTTTGGATCCATAGTGAACAGAAGCCCCCCCATGTTATCTATAGGTTACACTATAAGTGCGGAAGGAAGTTTGAAAAAAAAATAGAGTAAATTAAAAAATTATTTTTGACTTGTTTTGTTTACATGATTCTCCTGGCACACCTAAAACATGAACATAACACTTCAAGGAAAAATATAATTTTTTTCTCACCTCAACTGGCTTTATATCGGTCAAATAATGAACCAAATTGGAAATATTGCTTTTGAAACTCGCTCCGCCTGTCGTGAGTAAATAGGCCGATCTAAAGGATGTCGTAATTACAAATTCAAATGCCACCATTTTGAAATTTTTTCCCACTTCAGATTTTAATCGCAAGATTTGGTCTTATTCCATTATAACTTAAAAATTCAAAACACACAACAGGGATCAGGATATAAGTATAAACCTTTCTAGTACAGATTATGAATTTATTGCCAGTTGTAATGTCAGTGAATAACAACATCTCAGGGTGGAGCCAGTGTTTTACTGATTTAAGATGCCTTACCTGGAGTATTCAGTATATCATGGACTTTGCAATAGATCTATCAATATGGGAGAACTTCCCATTATCCGTGTTTGGATCCAAGGGTCCTGGGTTCAATTCTCACACGGAGCATTCAGGGCCGTCAGATGGGGGGATGCGATGGGTGCGACCGCACTTCTAGGGAAGTAGGCCACCCCTCGCATCCTCTACAAATCAATTAACAAAGATTCTGAATTTATTTCATGTATTGTCTCAAGACACTTTTAAAGTGCCCATACTTCATCAAATAGCACCTTGATATTGGTCAATGTTTCTTGCTGACAGATATTGGGACAAACACTTGCTCCCCCTGTGGCACCCCAACCCCACCTCCCCCTCTGGCACCCCCTTTGACACCCCCCCCCCAGGGAAAATTGGAAAACAGATATTTAATTTTTTTTAATTGACTCATACACTTTAGAAGTGCCCAGAAAGCACCAAATATCATCTTGAAAATGTAAAATTTTCTAGGAGAGTTGGCCACCCCTCACATCCCCAACAAAACAATTGAAAAATTCTGAATTTCATGTAATGTCTCAGACGTCATCAGAGAGCACCTTGATATGGTCAATGTTTCTGGGGGACAACCCCTTGCTCCCCCTCTGGCACCCCCACCCCATCTCACCCTCTCATCCTCTTTGACACCCCCTCCCAAAAAAATTGAATTTTTTTTATTGACTCATACACTTTGAAAGTCCCCAGAAAGCACCAAATAGCATCTCAAAAGTGTAAAATTAGAGTGGGCCACTTACACCCCTGTAAAACAATTGGAAAGTTTGGAAGTTGCATTTGTTAATTTTAAAGACTTTAAAAGTGCCCAGAAATCACCAAGTGACATAATGAAATCATAAACATTTCTGGCACCCCACCCCAAAAACGAAAAAAAGTGCTCGACAGCATCTTGAATTAGTTAAATTTTCCTGTGCTGTCCCCTCGCTCCCCTAAGAAGAAAATGATTGAAAAAATCTAAATTTCTTTAAATTGATTCTATTGATTGAAACACTTGAAAGTGTCCAGAAATCACTGAATGTGATATTGAACCAAGGGCGTTACAATACCCGGAAATTTATCGGTTCGTGCAGTACTTGTTTGTGATAGCGCCCTCTGTAGGTCACTGTGCTTATAGCCTACAGTAATACGGGGTAGGATATCGGGAATTCGGTCAGTTTCTATCCGTCGATTTCGCTATGAATTGAAGCAAGTGTGACCACTTTATCCACTTAAACAATTTGATAATTGATTAAATCTTTAAACAAAATCTATAAACACGTTATACACTTCCTATCTCCTTAGAAATTAGCATGTATTTATGGATTGTGTTTTCGAACAAGGCTCGACCCAGACCAATAGGGAAATCCTTATGCTAATTAGTATGACGTCATATTTTCCTGGGGAATCCTAGATTTCAAAGCCTCAGTCTGTTATTGTGTCAAATGTAAACGCTCTTTTGCAGACAGAAAATTGACAGATTAGCTTTTAACTTTCAGCTTTGATGTTTAAATATTCTGTATTTCTACCGGACTTCTTGCTGAATATCATATAATGTTATAACTTGATTTGGACCATTGCCTGATTGATCATTCTGAAATTTTGATTGTGATTCATGATTGATTGGCAAGAAAAATAATTCCTACATGTATTGTTTTCCAGCGAAGTCAAAATGTTACAGCATGAGTTATAATGTCGAGTTTGCATCATGTTAAATTCTGCTAGTGATTAGAAGTCCATGCACAAGCATACACAGGCCCTTAGCCAGGATTTGCCAAGGGGGGGGTTCAATTTTCAAAAATTTCCAGGGGGGGTTCACATTTGACAATTTAGGCCCAAATTAGGCTAAAATCACTTGAGAAGTGCTCAAAATGGTCAAAAACTGCATGATTTTGAAAGAATTTTTGGCCAGGGGGGGGGGGGGGTTCGAACCCTGCGAACCCCCCCTGGCTACGGGCCTGATACACATAAGAGACAAACACACCCAGGCTACAGGCCGTGGATGGAAATATAAAACTATTTAAGGCACAAACTGGTATTAATAGACCGATATGTAGTGTCTGCCATGTATTGAAGGTAAACCAATCTGCATTATTAATGTTTCTTCTATCAATACATGGATTGTGCAATGGAAAAGCAATGGCACAATCAAAAATGTGCATATCAATCGTGAATATCTCTCGGTTCAAAGCTTATTTCCAACAGAATCGCGTCAAAATATGTCTGAGTAACAATTATACATTATAAGATCGCAAACTCTTACCAATTATCAGCCGAATGGCTCATTTTCAACGAAATGTCCTTAGGACAACAGCCCTGGGTCGCGCCTGAGACCAAAAACTATTTCAAATAGCCCTCCCCTAATTATATTGGATAATCACATTTATGCGTGCGCGCGCAGCTCATCTATTGAACGAAACGCCACTTCCCGCTGAAATCACCGGGTATTGATCTTTCCCTTGATTGAACTGGTAAAAGTTCTTGGGTGAACATTTATGCCCTTCTAGCACTAACACACCCTCCCCGTATTCCAATGTTTCTCCAAATTGCTCATACAATATTTAGTCTTAAAACAATACGAAAACAATAAAACAGTGAGTGGCCCCAAATATAGGGAGTAACCGCCCCCCCCCCCCTGTGACTTAATCTTACACGATTTGACTTATGCTGCAAAAAATTGACATTTTAATATTCCGTAGTGGGATCCGCACCCCCCTTGGAGAAAAGTGTCTTACGGGCCTGGCATTGAATTTAGCACACTCTATTTCAATTTCTTTGTCTTTGTTGTAACACGATACTCATTAGTTTGTCAATCCCCTTGAGTGCCATTTTAATATTTTTATTATAAAATTATTGGGCGATAATAGGGGAATACTGAACGATTATGCTTCAAACATCATTTATAATGTAATTAATAGATTGAAATGTTGTTTACCCGTGGTTTATATATCACTGGACATATTACATATAAACGCCGTATCAACAAATCAAACACTCTTCGCCTAAATTGAATTTGAATCTACCGGATTCTCTCTTCTGCCAAAATAGACACGTGACTCGAAATAATCAACATCCGGTTTAGTAGGCACACATGTTTTTCAAGATTTGTTGAAGAATAAGCCATATAGCAAATACATCTTCAATAGATATGGCTTTATTCAATGTTAAGAGGTAAGTGAAACGTTTTTGTACATTCTAGTTACTGTTACGATGACTTGTTTTACTACATTGGGCTTGTGCGATTGGTTTTAGATCTATTTTTTGGGGAATTTTTTTCCACGCACTTGCCTTAGAGTTGTAGATCTTCCTTTTTTAGAATTATATCTATAATGGTTGCATAGATGCATTTGTACTGTAGGGTCTTTACTTATAAATCTGATATAGAAGGTGTCTGATGTATGCATAAGTCAAAAGTCCAATAGTCCAACTCATCCATCTTCGTTCACTCGGCTCCCGTCGGAACGCAGTGAAGACCAAGCGTGCGAAGATGAACTCATCAGAGCCGGGGTATCCCTGTCTAACCTTTTTATAGCCCTCCATTAGGCCTACTGTATCTATAGTCTGTTCCCAGTCCTTGAAGGCCTGTATCCATGATCAAGTAACTTTCCTTATGGTTTGAATATTTACATAAATTTACAAGGTCAGTCTCTATGCATACCGGCACGGATGGGAGTGACGTTCTGTCCAAACTCGACATGATTCAACTTGCTCTTCAATCCTGTCCATGCATATTGGGGAGTAAGCCCCCAATTTTATATACCGCATTGGAAGTTACCTTTTGAATTTGTTTGACTTTCCTAAAAGAGAGCTTTGTCTTTAACTCTTTCAGTTTTCAATAAACCTCTGAACTATCCAAGCCAATCAGAGTTTGTTGTAAAAAAGGCGACTTTCTAGCTATGGTAATTTCATCTGACGTTATTACATTGATAATGAGCACACATTTAACATGTTCTGGTCAGTTGGTTGGATGGGAAAAGGTCAACATAGTACTGCACCTGGGCTGTCACAAGGACTGGTCAATCAGATGGGGCTTCTAAACTGTAATTTTGTCTATACCACTGTATGCAGAGGGTACTTTATGACTACCATGTACTGTAGACTCTGCATACAGGGTAATTGAAGATGCAGCGGTTCGTTTTTGGTACAATCATGACATTCGATTCTGAGAAAACCATGGTCTACTTTTTCTTCAAAACTTAATATATAGAATATAAGAGGGAGGGGGTAACTTACTCCCCATGCCTGCATATACATGTAGCTGCAGATTTATTAATTCATTCATAATCGCGCTTTTATTTGCTTATTAATATTCATGGACAATCAACACTCACCTATTTGGAAATAAAATTTCTTCTTACACTGACTAGACATTGTCGACTGTGTCGTTCATGGTGTTGGTGGCAGTGACAGCCAATATATCAATCATATGAATGAGCTCATCATTCTTGATGGACTGTATTGTTTTGTCTGGTACATGGACTTTTAATATACTCAAGGTTTCCTTCTTGATGGTGGGAAACCATGTGGACTTTTCAGATTCATTGTTTAGAATACTCCACACTACATCATACTAGTTATTGGGCACTGGGGCAGGCAAGTTGGGTTTTACTCATGGAGGTGTGACAGATATAGAGATGTTATACTTTACATATTTTACTCTAATTTTATTCTAGGTATGAATTTGATGGAGATGATCTGTCACATCCTAAACCAAACCCAACACCTTTGGATATCATACAACAATTGAATTTAGTCGCCAAGAGGAAAAGTTTGGAAAGAGTGAAAGATATTAAAACAGACAACAAAAAATACAATAAGAATGAACAGTCTGAGGAAGGTCAACATGACATTGAAGAAACTCACGATTTTGATGAACCTTCTTCTGTTGAATCATCTGCTAAAAAGAGGAGAAAACATAAGCACAAGCAAACAAATGATATATTGGATGCTAATGAGGCTTCAGTTAATGATGAAAAAGAAGAAATATCCGATGTATTACCTAAAAAGCTTAAAAAGGCAAAAGACAGAAAAGAATCTGTTGGTGATGATGATAATATGACTGATGTATCTAAACCTGTGAATGTTAAAAATAAAATTGAACCAAACAGAGCTGAAGACATTCAAAAATCATTGGAAAATAATACTCCAGATAATTTTGTTGAAAATATACAAAAATCAAAAAAGAAAAAGAAGTCTAAAAAATTAAGCAAAGAAACAAAAACGATACAAGATAATTTGGTTAATGATTTTTCTGAAACAAGCCTGTCAGAAAAAGATTCTGAGTTAGACAGCGGTTCTTTAAAAACGGATAAAGACATTTTAGATATACCTAAAAAAACTAACATTACAAATATGGATATTGACAGTATTGATACAGCTACAGGTGATACTGAACATGAGGAACATGAAAAAGCTGTCACTGAAGCAGAGATCGATGAGGCTGTTAATAATGAGTCATTTCCAGTTATTGGTGAATTCAAAAGAAAAAAAATTCAAAAGGTACATTCAGTATATTAAATGTACAAGATTTACTGCAAGTTTATCTTATTAACAGTATAATAATTTTTAATGAATTCCTATGATCATTATCTCATCAGATACATACATGATATTATAAGTCACATAATATAAGTAACAGCAGAATGCTTAAACTGATATGTACTGTAGGGCTAGTGTTAGACACTTTTTCTTTTATATTCCTTTATCATTGTGACGCTGGGGATTTATTTCCTTTTGATCTGTTGTACTCATAAATATACTCATATATTTTTTAAAATACTTTTTGGTGTTTACCATTCTGACACTAATGTGACTACATGGTTACATCATTAATATTTCACTTATTCCAGGTTGATCGTCACTTACCTGATTGGCTGTCACAACCCTCAGTTGTCAATGCCGACCTGGCTACTAAGGGAGACTTATCTTTGATCAAGGGACTTGATGAGGATATCAGGCAGAAACTAAAGGAGAATGGAATTTCTTACTTCTTCCCAGTACAAGCACAGGTTGGTTTGTCTCTAAAATATTCCTTTAATCACAGAGGTTTTTGACTTACAGTTGATGAAAGTTTTTAAAGAGACAGTTAGCTATAAAATAGCACTTGTGTTTAGGGTTGTTGTAGAAAGTGTATTGTATATTTATATTTAAATACTTCAGTAATCACCTAGATAAACCTTTTAGAATAAATCCACAATATTAAAAGTATTCAACATATTTATTGCAGGATTTTTAGCAATTGCAGCTTTAAATTCTTCTTTGATTCTTCAAAACTGTATATGTTGGATTTTATTTTGTTTAGATCATCCCTGTTCTGTTAGGCCAAGCTGCTGGAGGTTTCATGCTAGGGAATGCTGGGTACAGACCTCCTGATATATGCTGCTCAGCTCCTACTGGAAGTGGGAAAACACTAGCATTTGTATTACCCATAGTGCAGGTTAGTCATATTCATTTCACTATCATAGCTAGAAATTATCAGCTATGCAAATACTAACATATTTTCAATTAACTTTTGTTAAGCAATCAATTTTAGATTTACTATTGTTTAGACTCTCTTTTCGAAATTGTTATCATTTGCCAGAAAAATGATTTTGAAACAATTATGCTGATACAATACTCTGAAATGAGATACAACCATTCCATTATACATGTTTAATATTGATATTTCTGTTATAGTCCTTAAAAGCCCGTGTGGTGTGCCGTGTCCGTGCATTGATTGTTCTGCCAGTACAAGACCTGGCAAAGCAGGTTTACAAAGTCTTCCTACAGTATACCCTAAATACAAAGCTAAAGGTCAGTTTAAACATAAATGTTTTATTTATTTTGTATGATTAATCTATTATATTATAATCATAATTCAGTAAAACCTGTGTATATTTTTTTGCCAAGAAAACACATTAAGTGTTAGTGTTTATTACAGAAAGGGTAAAAATACAGAAGTCATTTGAGTATGTGCGTTTTCATTAGAGGCAGGTGTTCACGAGAAAGAGGTGTTCACTGAGACAGGTTTTACTGAAGTACTATAAAATCAAATGAAATCAACAAAATAGAAATTCTCACCACTCTCCAGTGCTCCCCCATTAGGATTTTGTGTGGAATGTATCATTTTCAAAATATATAAACTTATAAATTTCATGTGAAACTGGAAAGCAATTGTTAAGTTCTTGATATATTTACTGTACAAAATGGGTTTGTGCTTAAATACAAAATGAATGCTGAACAAATTGAATTGAAATATGTGCAGGTATCATTGATGACTGGTCAGAAGCAGTTCCATCAAGAACAGAACCAGCTGGTTAATACAAGGTGAGTCAGTTCATTGTACAACACCTCAAGACAGGGTGTTTTTAACTAAGGATTTCAGACAAACTTGTTAAATTGAAAAAACTGATTTTAATTGCTATGCCATGTCATTTTCTTAGACATCATTGAAAGTATAAAAAATGATTAACTACTCTTTGATATACTTTGCATAATGTTTCAGGAGAGATGGTGTAACTGAGAGTCTAGTTGACATTATAGTGGCAACACCTGGTCGTCTTGTGGACCACATTAACAACACTAAAGGCTTTGAACTGCAGCATCTAAGGTTTTTGGTATGTATAAAGTGTTTATTTAGTGATTAAGATTATATCGTCACATAACTAGATCAACTAAACTTAACATACTATGTATATTTCTCTATATTTTAAAGTGGTTGGCATTAGGTGGTTGGCAATCAGAGTTCAGCGTCCAGTGTTTGGCGTCCGTAACTAAAATAGCATATGGTGACATTATGCATGTTAATGCCTTGTATTAATTACCATGGCAATCAATTATAAGACCTAAACTTTGTTACCATTGACTCAAAATCTTTAGAGAAATCAGCATGTGAGGCCACCAAATGGTGCCATTTTGTAATAATGTTATCTAATTGTAACAGGTGATAGACGAGGCAGACAGAGTTACAGAGATGATTAAACAAGACTGGCTGAGTCAGGTGGAGAATGCCGCCAATACATCAATTGTGAAGCCTCTAACGGCTGCCTCAGCTTATCATACACATATACCTGTAAGTACCTTGTTGTCTCAGCTCTAACCAGTTTCAAGGGAACATACCATATACACATATTTGTAAGTATCTCGTAGCTTGCTTTAATCAATGAAATATTAAAGGTTGTGAGAGTCATTTTCAAGGGAAACATACCATATTATACACATATCTGTAAGTATCATGTTGCTTGCTCTAACCAGTGAAATATTGAAAATTGTGAGAGTCAATTTTGAGGTCAACATACCATGAGCCTATGGAAAGGGGGGTTTTGTCACATAATCACGTCAGGTGGTAATACGTTTTCACGTCGCACGTTACTAATCAGAATTACTTTCACGTTTCACATCCTTGATCATCAAATATTACATTCACGTTTCACGAAGATCAAATATCATTACATTCACGTTTCACGGGCATTAAATAAATCGCGCGCTAAACCGTCGAAATCACTCTCCATTTTGCTTGCAAAGTCCAGACGATGGTCACATAGTCCAGATATCTCAGTATATCAGGTCGATCTTTGTATTCACCGGATTGGCTTGCTATTGGTTGAATTTCTACTAAGTCGTTATTCTCAACCAATCAAAATAGAAGAAAAGAAATTAAAATATTAAAATATCCCAATGGTATAACACCTCTCTTATGTTAATCTTTGTTTGTAACTGGTGTTCTGATTGGCTAAAAACAGAAAAGTTTAGGAATAGTAACTAATTACATTTGAGTTTACAAAGTCGACAAATAAGATGTATCACAAAAGCGAACGTAGGATCAAATGTATTCTCGCCGAACAAAGTTTCATTTATTCTGAAAACGTAGCACGAAATAACGAGACTGAACGATGTCACAGAGGTCTCATAATTCAAAATACGATGCACGAGGCAATGTTTATTGACTTCACGATGTACGGGGTTAACTTCATGAATGTCTGCACGGGCCTGGATTTGCATTTCACGTTTCTCGTTCAATCAAAATCCACTAAAACGCTGCACGCGTGAACCCTTTCCATAGCCTCTTCCATGTAATGCACATTTCTGTAAGTATCTTGTGACTTGCTTTACTCAATGAAATATTAAAAGATTGTGGGCGTTACCAAATGCATATACCTTTAGTTATCTCTCTTTCTAGATGGCACTTACTTTTTCATATTTTAAAAACATATATTTATTATGGCATATTATTAAAAGTCAGCTTTTTACTTCAGTTTCAGAAGCTGTTGTTCTCAGCGACATTGTCTCAGAACCCAGAGAAACTGGAACAATTGAAACTGTTTCAACCCAAGTTGTTCACCAGTACATCAAGGGGAAGACCAGTAAAGAAACATGCAGCCACTCAGCTGGAGAATAAGTCGCATGATGAACGTATGTACATACTGTATTATTGGTAGTAATACAATAGCACATGGAACATTTTCCATAGCATTTCTTATGTGGCATTCAGTAAACCCTGTAAAGTTGAACACCTCCAAAAGTTGAAAATTTTTCTAGCTACTCTAAATGTTAGTTGAATGGATCCCATGTGGAACACTATTTAAAGGTGTACACAGACTTACTGTTCTTACAATATGAATTGAATTGTATTGCAAAATTAGTATATAATCTGTTCTTATATGATTACAGAGGAAGCTGACTCAATTACTACTGGGGAATTTGCTGGGAAATATACAACTCCAGCAGGTCTTAAGGTAGGCAATGTACTGATTTATTTAGCCTCATTCAAGGCATTAGTTATGTAATATTTAGTCTTATGTTATTTATCTGATTATAGATAGGCATTGAGACTACTCTAATACTACAATAATAATAGTGTCTTTGTTTTATTTATTTTTATATTTTTTTTATTTTTATCAAAATCAATGTAACATATATACAGGTTATAGTGGCTATGACCCCCAAGAGGGAGTATTTGGTGCCACATAATGGTATTTACAATGATTTGAAATATTATAAGAAGTGTACATGTAATTGTGTAAAGTATGATACCCTCATGATTTTTTTCATGATTTTATTGGATCAACTATTTTGACAATAAGTTATTTCATTTATGTTAGTATTTTAGTTTCAGGCAGATCACTTGCCACTTTGGGAGTGTAAAGGGTCATAACAGAACTACAGAATTGAGTATACCGTAAGACTTACATGTATTCAAAGCAGATTCAAAAGTTTATACTGATTCCATTTTTGTAGGAGTATTTTATCCAGATCTCCCCCAGTGAGAAGCCTCTAGCCCTGATGCACTATCTCTATGAACTACACTTGAAACGTGTGCTGTGCTTCACTAACACTGTGGATTCAACTAATAGGTATGTTATCTCGTATATGATTTCTTCACCAGTAAGTTTCTAAGGAATGTACGAAGCCAACTCTTTACTGAGGCTGAACTCATGATCACCAAATGCCAGTTAGAAACCAGTTCTTTATTTAAGATGGAGTTGAGTCATGTAAGCACCCACACATTCCTTGAACCAGGCAACCAAGTTCATGATAAATAAATTCAACGACCAATCAGGGGAATTTCCCGGTATATTCAAACTTCAGATTGAATTAATTTCCGTGAAAAATAATTAGATCGGTCAGTACAATCACAAAATTTAGATAGGTGAATATGTGGTGAAACTCTATTGTAAAAAGGTCCAGAGGGGTCTTGATTGTGCTATCCTATGGCATAGAGCCTCTTCAACCAACTGATTGCTTCATGCTCAATATGGCAAACAGCTGTATATTATCAGTTGTACAGTTGGAAACAATTTACTATTACATTCTGGATATACATGTAAAAGGTTAAGAATATGTGATATATGGATATCACATTGCTTAAATCTTTCTATTGGGCTATGGTTTTTAAAATATCAAAAGAAATTTAAATGCACTATGAACCTTTAAAAAAAATTTTTTAATTGATTTTGTCACACACTGTGTGAAAGATCCTTAGGTTGAGGTTTGGTTTTGACAGTTTAGTGTGTTGAGGAGTGTTTGTTCATTTCCTTACATGCTAAAGTAGAAATAAGTTTGAAATGTAAGAACAACTGACTGCTTTTCTTTATAATTTGTGGCGTTACAATTTGCTCCGCTGAATCCAACTCCAAAGTTACTATGACAACTGCTACAGTGTGAAATATCAAAAATTCTAGCCAAATTTTCAGATTGGCTAGTGAAATGTATCATGCTACTCCTGCATAAATCTCACTATGAATATTGCAAAATAAAAATTTATCAATTATCTTGGCAGTCATGGGATAGTTATAGAAATATTCATCCTGCTCTCTGTTATACACTGTACACTATATATTTCCCCATGTTATGTACCTAGGACCTCTGGTTAAGAATACATCCATGTGCTTTAAAAGCTTTGAATGAAACAAAGGTTATGTGGTTTCTATTCAGGAAGTCTAACCCTGGCTTTCTGGAAGGAACATTTTCCAAACAGGCCATTTCATATCTTTTGCATTATTATGATGTAATAGACCATGCACATTTCTTTTGAATAATTAACTTAAATATCTTCATTTTCAAATTATTTATTGACTATTGTAATGCTAGTTTACGAAAAATATATTATATTGCATTTACAATTATCTATTGAAGTAATAAAACAGTTAACAACATCAATGAGGCCAGAAGTAGGTCCTACCTGAATATCTGGTTGCTATGAATTTTTTTGAATTTCTCAAAATTTTGGGTTGGCGAAAATGGCTGGGTATTTCTATGTCCCAAGTCATTCGAGGGCACCGTGAATGATGCCAAATGGTCGAAGAGGACTACCATTTTTTATGATTGATCAAGTGACCGAGTAATGAAGACCACTTTTCGACAGGCGCAGAAATTTAAAAACCCATAAATAAACATCTATATTAGCTTGAAATATGGCAAATTCATCCGGTCAAACTGTTGACTATCTATCATAAAATAGTTGTACAGTAGATAGAGTAAGCAAGATGTTAGATCAAATGCCACTACTAAACTTTTTCAAAACCTTTACAAACATAATACAAATCCCTCAGGTTTGAATACATAAATTTCAGGTGGGACTTTATAGTTAAAAGGTCCAGAAGTAGAATAACAATCCCCATCCCAGCAAGAATGATTATTGACATATAACCTAAAGCTTTAGCTGAAGGTCGGTCATCAGGTTCAAATATTGCAAATTTAGGAGCTTTGGTTGTTGTTGGTGGCAGTGGTGTGGTCTTAACTGGAGTTTTAGTAGTTCTCTTTTTTGTAGAAACTGTAGGAGGAACATCTGTTGTTAGATTAGTTTTAGAAGGAGCTGTCTCGGAAGTTTCTTCAACTGTTGGTTCAGTTGTTTGGCTTTTTTCTGTTGTTTTTAGTTCAGAAGCTTGTATTGTTGTTGGTTGAGTACTTTGTATCATAGTTGAAAGATTAGCCTGTATTGTAGTTGGCTCAGTAGATAGTGTTGTAGTTTGGTCAGTTTCTGTTGTGCTTGGTTTAGTAGTCTCCATTGTAGTTTGTTCTGTGGTTAGTGTTGTAGTGAAGTCAGTTGATTTTATTGTACTTTGTTCAGTAGTCTGTATTGTAGTTGGTTCAGTGGTTAGTATTGTACTTTGTTTTGTAGTCTGGATTGTAGTTGGTTCAGTGGTTAGTATTGTAGATGGTTCTGTAGTCTGTGTTGTAGTTGTTTCAGTGGTTAGTATTGTAGATGGTTCTGTAGTCTGTATTGTAGTTGGTTCAGTGGTTAGTATTGTACTTTGTTTTGTAGTCTGTACTGTAGTTGGTTCAGTGGTTAGTATTGTAGATGGTTCTGTAGTCTGTATTGTAGTTGGTTCAGTGGTTAGTATTGTACTTTGTTTTGTAGTCTGTACTGTAGTTGGGACAGTGGTTAGTATTGTAGATGGTTCTGTAGTCTGTATTGTAGTTGGTTCAGTGGTTAGTATTGTACTTTGTTTTGTAGTCTGTATTGTAGTTGGTTCAGTGGTTAGTATTGTAGATGGTTCTGTAGTCTGTATTGTAGTTTGAACTGCAACAAATACATAATAACATTCTAAATAGGCTTATGTTGTGGCCATACCCAATTTAGCCTAGCCTACTATGAGGTTTATTCTAAAAATGCAACAAAAACACTGTATATGACTCATATATGTTATGATCACACATCTTACAACACCATTTTTATAAGAAGAATAGTTTATGATAATTCTAATTTCAGTTATAGGATTTTTTCCAAGTTTTTAAAGCAAAACATCATAGGCACAAGACCTCTACTCTAGAAGGAATTTGTACAATGGCATGATGTCACACCACATTATTCTTTAATATATAAAAGTGATGAGGATGATGTATCATTTGAATGCAGTTTTTAAAGATTTATTTTAGATATTGAGTGTTTCATTGCTTACTTCTGCTTCTTTTCCCACCCTGTATATGTTTTATCAATACATGTATATTCACATATTGGGTTGACACCCTATATATTAATAATCAATACTGTATACGTATTCACATTGGGATAATGCATAAATTACACCTATTACATGGTGACTTTAAGGTTAATCTTTGTCAGGTTTAGAATGGAACAAGGATCTTACTTATACAAGTATATCAAAGTTACATAATGATGGTGCATATTTTATTTTGAAATTTTTTGGAATGTAGAGACTCAAGTAGCTAAAATAACCAACCTGCTGAGCAGTCATTCTCGCATATATATGCCTTAGTTTGTTCACAGTCAGTTTTAGCAAATTCATCAGGTAAAATTGAGAATGCTGCCATCACTGCAGCCAGACACTCCCCTGCTTGAACTCCAATTGTTCGATAACTGTCTTCCCAACCTACGGCCCTGCCATCAATCCATTTTAAAGAGCCATCAAAGAAATCCCCGCCAAGCCAGAAAGACCCACTTGTTTGACCACTGAAACATAATGCATTGTATTATTAACTATATATCATTGATTCCATTGTGGGATACAAAATGGACTATTTTATGAAGAAAGTCTAAAGTCTCTTATAAGTCTGGGAATCTGATAAATCCAAGTGCATTGCAAGCAGGATAAATTCATTAAATAGATGCATGACCTGGTTATTATAAGGCCTAATTATTCCAAGTGTAAAAGGCAGTCATGTAATTCCTGAAGTTCTTGTGGACTAATTTGTTTTTATTTGATGAGAAGATGTATGATTACTCATGAAAATGATTTATGATTAATGATCATATATAAAAATATTTAAAACGTACATGTAACATACATAGATTCCGTGTTTGTCGGTTACTGCTATATAAAAAATTGGCATACTTTTCTTTTGCGAAATTAATTAAATTGCTGTATGTTCCATGTGTATCGGCTACTGCTATGTGGCCACCTGTTGAAGCACATTGTTGTCTCGCGAGGTCCCATGTTGCCTTTGTGGATTTCAATTCATAGCAAACATCACCACTAGATTTACCTAGTATATTGTAAACTACACATTATTATCCCATCGAACGAAGTTCGGAGGGATATAGGGAACGCCTCCGTCCGTCCGTCCGTCCGTCCGTCTGTCCCTCCGGGCAATAACTCAAATACCGTTGGCCCGATTTTGTTCATATTTTGTACACATATACCTTATGGGAATAGAAGTTCTGCTCAAAAGCCGATTTTCAAAATGGCCGCTCATTTCAAAATGGCGGCCATTTTAGTGCTGATTTTACAGTAATTTAGGTGCAATATGTAAAACTGTTATATCAATATGTTTTAAATGTAAAAAAATTATAGAGGACATTAATAATGCTACAAATGTAGATATTAAAGAAGCACATGGCAGCCATCTTGAAAAATGGCGGCCTTTACTCGTCATTTTACGATTTTTGCTATAACTCAAAAAATAGTGGAGCGATTTTGTTCATATTTGGTATGTGAATACTATAAGCATTGTACACTGTCTAAAGACACTTTTGGTAGAAGGCGGCCATTTTGAAAAAAAATTGAAAAATGGCCGCCATTTTAACGTATTTTACTATAACCCGAAAAGTAGTGGAGCGATTTTGTTCATATTTGGTATGTGAATACTATAAGCATGGCACACTGTCCTATGACACTTTTGGTAGAAGGCGGCCATTTTGAAATTTTTTTTGAAAAATGGCCGCCATTTTAACATATTTTACTATAACTCGAAAAGTAGTGGAGCAATTTTGTTCATATTTGATATGTGAATACTTTAAGGATGCAGTACCAGGTCAGCGTAGAATAAGTTCCAGACATTAGATTTTGCTCATATTTTTTACAATGTATCACTATGATGTTATTATCATCCAAGTGCAATATGAAGAGGATTGACCGTCTGGTAATTACAAAATAAAATAATTATTTTACCCACCCAAAATGAATCTTTTTACTTTTTTGAGTTTTCAATAGAGCTGGCACCTTTCGAACCCTGGTTTTCGTATTCACTAATTGCGACTCAAGAACAAGTTTTCCCACAAAAGTGAAAGAGATAAAATATGCTTGATAAAATATTTGCAATTTAATTCTTTTCTGGAAACATCATTATCGAAATAAACTATAATTTTTGAATAAGACTAAATGCGAAAATGACGTTCTTGGGAGCTAGCTTTCTCAAACCGGAAGTCAAACCTGCGCAAACAGACGTGAAAACCGACCCGGTACTGCATCCTTAAGCATGGCACATTGTCTAATAAAACTTTGGGGAGTAGTCGGCCATTTTGAAAAATGGCCACCATTTTTATGTGTGTTATTTTACAAGAAAAGCATATTATTTCTTCTGATGACAACTTGGCTAGTGAGCAACCATTTTGAAAATGGTGGCCTTTCTGGTGTGTTGTTTTATGATATTTGCTATTCGTTTGTAAAAATGCCAGCCATTTCTGTTCGATGGGATTCGCTACGCTTTGGCGTTGCCGTTGTTCTGGTTTCAATTCTTGTTTCAAAGGTCCATGTGCATTGTGCAATATGCCAAGTGATTTTAGACAGTCATATCAATTCACCATGAGTATTACCTGGGTATAAATAAAAGTTGCCAGTCTTTCTTGGAAAAGTTGGGTGTGTGTTTATTGGAGTGTGCGCTTATTAGAGATAATATGGTATATGAAGCAATGTACGTAATACTTACATTTTTCAGTTGAGTTTTCATTGCCATTCTGCCATGTTCCAATGTCATATTCACAAATGAAATTCTTTTTTTCACAACATGAAGGAGAGGTCCATTTTGTTGTTGTGGATGAGTAATGCAAAGCTGACTGGCACAAATCTTGACCTTCACCTAAAATAATTCAATAAAGAAATAGTGGCGGTGCAAGAAACAGTCAACAGGATTATGAAAGATTGAGTCAGAAGTCAATCAAAAATTGTGTCTTTTAATATCTGTTTTTGCTTCTTTTTTTCCATACTAATATACAATATTTACATTCATTTTGATAGAATTACTGAGAATTGAGAAAGTGCATATCAATCCATATTTTGCGTAAATTGAACAAAATATCTACATTTTTAAAGATATTTTTGATAAGTTATTATCCCATCAAACGAATTCGGAGGGATACAGGGAACGCGTCCGTCCGTCCGGGCAATAACCCAAATACCATTGGCCCGATTTTGTTCATATTTTGTTAACATATACTCTATGGGGTTAGAAGTTCTGCTCGAAAGCCGATTTTCAAAATGGCCGCTCATTCAAAAATGGCGGCCATTTTAGTGCCGATTTTGCAGTAATTTAGGTACAATATGTAAATCTGTAATAGCAATATGTTTTAAATGTAAAACAATTATATAGGACATTAATAAAGCCAGAAATGTAGATCTTAAAGAAGCACATGGCAGCCATCTTGAAAAATGGTGGCCTTTACTCGCTATTTTACGATTTTTTGAAAAATGGCTGCCATTTTTGCTATATACTTTGTTTGTAAAAATGCCAGCCATGGCTGTTCAATGGGATTTGCTACGCTTTGGTGTTGCTGTTGTTTAGTTAAATTCTGTCACCTGCCAAACTGTTCCAAACCTCCCAGCTTCCGAGTTGATTGCCATCAACTGTCCTCCAGTCACTGCCATCGTGATAAGCCCCTATCCAGTAATCTGCGTAGCTTTCACTAAAATTTAATAGAAATAGTACTTAACTGCAATATAGTTAATGTCTCAAACAGGGTAGTGTATGTACATCTGATTTCAAATAAGTCCAACATGTCATATAACTTGTAGGTCATGTAACTTGTAGCAACAATAGACTTTAGTATCAACCTTCTTTGCTGAAAATATAAATGCTTGAAAAAATCTTCGGACCAAATCTAGCTACAGTTATCCAAAAAGAGTACAAAACTACGTACGACCCAATTGCAGCTTCCTTTACACCTTTCATCATTAATGCCTCTGAATCTGATGTCATAATAGCCAATGTTGCACCTTGATTTACACAATGTGTCAATGCATCGTACCATGTCAGTGGAGTAGAAAAGAATTCATAGCAAGCATCACCAGAACAATATGATGCAACTACAATGTAAATAGCCATTACAATCACAATACAGTAAAGCCTGTCTTAGTAGAACATCTTTGGTACCTCTAAAAAGTGTTCTACTTACAGATGTTCATTTTACATTAAGTCAATTTGTCCAGGACTCTGAAAAGTGCTCTACTAACTGAGGTGCTCCAGTCTTAGATGACTTGTATTCCACTTTACAGGTTTCACTGTATTATTCAACATGTTTAAAGAATAGATCTTGAGATTTTACTGAGTTTCATTAATTATTACATTAAATAACTTCACAACTTAGGAAATGTGATAAAGAATTATTATTTCAATTAGCGAGCAAACATTTATCATTACAGCCAGTTAGCAGGCTAAGAAGCAACTGAAGGGAGCATAGACCAGAACACGTGTCTGGGAATGACATCTGTCACAGATAAGGCCAGTCCCCCTGACAAATGCTTTGTAGGTTCAATGTTAGAGGCTGACCCTATCTGAGACGATCTGTTGCTGCATAATTTAAATCAAGTTTAATTAATTAAACTTACAATTAAATTTTAATGTTCTTCTTTGTCAGTTCAAGTTTTGTAGAATTTTGGGATGAATGACAACATGTGGGAGATGTGAGATGAAATTATTATATGAAAAAATTTTCATGTTACATCAAAAATATAAGGTTATGCCAAAACTGAGAAAACCACAATTTCATATTTTTATTTATTTTATTAATTTATTTTGACATACGCTTTTTTAAAAGCGGCACACTATTATTAAGTGTGTCAGTATTTGTAATCTACATATATATTTTATAAGCACTAAAAATGTTTACATAAAATGCTACAGTTTTCTAGGGTTAAAAAGTGTTCACATCTTCACATATTTATCAAACATATAAAAAATGTCATGCCCCCATTCCATAAAAACCTTATCACCAAGTATTGTAATTAACCTATCATAAATGCTCGAAGACAATAAACTGCTACTTAAAATGGGAGAAACATATTTCTCTACATCGTTGTAAAAGTTGGACCTGGCTGTGGCAAAATGGGGACACACCATTAATCTGTGTGATGGTTATACACATTATACATATACCATCACTTTTGCCCCACTTTTCATAATTTGTCTCAAGGCAGAAATTATTCGATCTTGCTAGAAATTTCATTTTAGATCCATAAAAATCAAGGTCATTCTTAAGGTACCTTTCGGTGCGGTTATGGGTTTTAACCTCCTTATATATTTCAAGGGAGGGGTATTCAGCTACCCTAGTGTGGAAATTATATATGCTTTGGGATTGAGATATAGTTAAAAATGAGGGGTACCATTCGCTGTCATTCCGAAAAATAACATCATCTAAACCTTTATCTCTTAAAATATTCCGTGTATTTGATGCAAATGAGGAGGGAAGTTAGCGCAACAGATTTTGGACAGTCATATGTTTGATTTTGGCCATTTCCTGGGGATTTAAACAGGTGCATATGTTAGGCCAATGCATTACCTCCAGGAAAATCACTTCTAGAGATGATAAAATAATTTCAACTTTGAGACAGGGTAGATGCAAACAACCCACCCACATGTTTTTTCTGAAATGTTTTCCTAATTTTCAACCCCTTCCATCCTTGCTTTTTTTATTTTTCTTGCATCAATGTGTTGCGTTTTGGCACAAAGTTAATTCCTTAAAAGGAATAAATGATTCCTTTTAGATAAAGTGGAAAACTATATTTCCCATGTTATTTTCCCATTGGAAAAATCATTGCTTTCAGCTAAGTTTGGTCACCCATAATGGATATCTTTAAAACCCCTGAAGGAATCACTTATTCCTTTTAAGCGGTTAACTATGTGTCAAAATGCAACATATTGATGCAAGAAAAATTTAAAAAGCAGGGGTGGAAGGGGTCCAAAATTAGGAAAACATTTCAGAAAAAACATGTGGGTGGGTTGTTTGCATCTACCCTGTCTCAAAGTCGAAATTATTTTATCATCTC